GGAATATTAGCACTAAAACATTTACTTTTAAGGAAACAACAAGGTCTTTCTGTTTATATGCTATACAATTTTTACGCAAAATAAATAGAAAATACTGTATCTGACTCTGTCCTGTAAACATTTTCATTGTTCATAAAACATTTCCCCAGTGTGGAGTCATTTATCTGTGAATGGCACATTAACCACCCATTTCCCCCCCTGTCTGCGAGAGTATCGTCTTCACTGATAATGGAAAAAGATTATGCACATTCATTACCATTATCATTAAAATCATCGTTATCATGCGCTTAGCATAATAACAGCGTTCAACTGATTCACTTCTCCGGCTCTTTATTTTCTTCTTCTTCCCCCTAACTTGTTCATGTTGACACTGCTTTAGGAAGAATGAAAATAGCTTTTGTCAATGTTTCTTTGAAGTTTTGGTGTGATGTATTTAATCTGACATACAACACTCCATGATCAATCAAAAGGGCAAACCATAAATAAGCTGCTTTTGGAGTGGCATTCACTGACTCCCACCAGTGCTGTTTAGATAAATTCGGCTTAAATACTTTGGAGAACTATGGACTAGAGTTCTGTTTCTACAATTTTAGATTTGCTTTTCTAATCAGTATTATTATTATTATTATTATTATCATTATATCATTCTACATACTCTACTAGTGTTAGATTAAAGTAAGGTACACCAAAGCCTGATACAAAGTGCAGCTGAGTGACTAACTGCTTCCTCAGCATGACCTGACTTTCTCTCTTGTTAATTAAGTAGTAATCAGGTGCGATGTAGGCACTGCTGACGGTGACTGTGGTGCCTTTAAAGCCACAGGGAGACCAACAGAGTAATGGAAAAAAATATATAAAATATAAAGGTTACCCCAGGTGAGGAGGGTTATTTACAGAGTCACCTCTGAGGTCAAAATCCCCAAATCAAAGAGCCAGACAACAGATAAAGCAGAAATGACAAGCTCGATAAAAACTGTAGTGAAAGAGGGAGAAGCCTAACAGTGGTTGTTCTTAAACAACAGCATTCCCCAAGGATCTATTAGACAGTGGTTTGTGCACACACAAGACAACAAGTCCTTTCCTAATTAACTGTTTTCTCATCTCTAAACAAGTGACTTTTCTCATCTCTTACTCGGTTAACTGCACAATCTCTACACACAGGTAGGCTCACACTCATATGGAGAAAAAAAAGGGTCACACTTGAGCACTTCCTTACCTGTGTCTGTGACGTAAAGATATTCTCTCAGAGTCCTCCTTCCGTGGCTACAGGAGAGTTTTGGTGGCTCGGCTCGTATCCGTAGGGTTTCAACAACTGAACGCATGCCTCCTCTGAGGCTTCTTATAATGGCACACCCCTTCCCTCCTGGCTCAACCCTCCAGTTCTCTCCCCCTCCCTTCCCCTGTATATCACCATTCACATCACCATAGAGGAGGGCTAGAGAGAGGGGTGGATTCCCCCATTCTGTTACGCACAAACCCCCGGACAGACACACAAGCCTGTGGCCCGTGCTGACGTAAGAGGCATTGCCTACGCCATCGGTTTCGTCTTCATTGAGCCAACTAATGGGGCTCTAAAAATACGCATCATCCACCGTGACATTGATCCAGAATTCCTATGTCTAAGGTGTCCATAAAACCCACAATCTCGACGCCAACCTGCTGCCAAGGTCAGGGAAGCAATGGCGCTTTAAATCCGATGTTTACTCCAGATATGCGAGTTAAATACAAGCGAGAGTAGCAGTGCCATGGAGATGATCATGGATCGATAAGATTGTTTGTGCTGGGACAGACAAAAACAACAAGTCTTTCTTTGTTGGTGGTGATGCCACACCTGAATAGGAGACTTTATTCTTCTTGTGAATGAGAGAATGAACAATGTAGAGCCAGGCAGTCAATGGATAGAGCAGACAGCCAGTATGGGTCTGCAGACAGGAGGTTAGTATGAGTCATGCAGGAGATTTGGGGATGGAAAACTAGACCTGCCTCTAGGTCCTGAGAGCTTTCTCTGTGGCCAATGGTCTGTAATACATGTTTGAGTGTTCAGTTGAGGTGATGATAATGGCACTGACCAAAAAAAAACACCAGAGTTGAAGCAAATAGGGAAGAGTGGAACAAAATGAGGTTGTCAAGAAGCAAGATGAAGATCAGCATTACAACACTGTAGCACAGCAGTTCTGTGATGCTGTACTTAAATAATTTATATTTTTAGATTACCAACATATTTAAATGACAAAGTGAAAGTTGTCTCTTGCTGTGATGAGCCTACAGAGAATTACTACCTGAATCTGCAACTCCCCTCGGCTTTATTCTGCAACTTTACTGACAGGGACTATAGCTGGTGAACATAGCAGAGCATACAGCAGCTAAAGAGACACATATTTCCCTCAGTGGTTGGCGTAGACCAAAAACAGAGCCAAAAGAGACTTACATTAATCAACTGGCCAGAAATATGACTCTAAATGAATGATAATGTTGCTCTGTTTTTAAATCACTTAACTCAAAACCACAAATATCTATCTCATGGTGATGCAAGAGAAAAACGTCAGGGGATCATTAGAGTCGTTAGCCTCCACTGCTTGAGAACCATGGCTATCTGGACAAACATTTAACATATCGAGAGGTATTTCTTTGGATGAGTAAAAACTGAACGAACTACACGAACAGTCTACTCTATTATATTATATTATATTACATTTCAGTCTACACCAAAAAAGATCAACCAACCATTTGGCCGACTCACCAACTGTGCAATCCCTAGAGCCATGTCGCTAAAGTAGTAATTGGCTGATTGTTAGTACACGTGATGTAAGGATTTAATCTTCTTTTAGACTTTGGGGGGGAACCATTTTTGGAGGGTAGGGTGTAGCTACAGAGGCTGCCAACTGTCACTGTCACTGGACATTTGTCATCTGTCAATGGTTCATCATCAGAAATGTTTAAAATACACGCAAAAGGCATCTTTTCGCTAATTTTGTGCCCTGACTGTCAGTAAGGACGATCACCATAACAACAAAAATGTATATTCACACATAGAGAGAGAAAGAGAGAGAGAGCAGAGGAGAGCAAAGGTAAATACATCATAAAGACATAAAGTGATTGATCAGTTAAGCTATGCTTACATTAGTGACAAATGAAAACATTATCCTCCAAGATACTGGCTTGCAAGCAAGCTGTCTAGATATCTAATAATTAATAATAATTAACATTTTTCATAATTGGGAAAGAATGAAAAGTTATCACATGATCAAATATATGTTATTATATTTATTTTGTTGTTGTTGATACAGTCCACTATACAACAGTGTTTACCGACCATGTTGACTTTAATAATATTGACGTTTAATCGAGTTACACCGAGTTGAATGGGTTGATACTAACTAGCTACATGGGTGATGGTGACGGTGCGGAAGTCCAAAAATGGCCGACTTGCTATTAATAACGTCACTTTCCCTTGCTGCTGGCAATATTGTTATACAAGTGTTGTTTGACTAATACAAGTTGGTGGTGCTCACCTTGACCCTGCATTGTATCAGTCTGCTATCTGTCTGTCTCTTTTACCTCCGCTGTCTCTTTTTACCGGAACCATCACCACACACACCCACGGATCATCTTCTACTTTTGTTTGGTGGTAAGCTTACCAGCAGTGAATCGTGGTATGCCACTATGCTAAGTACAAAGAAGCACCCGACACCAAAAAAAATCAATACAGCTTCAAACCTGTATTGATGGATGACATTTTTGGACAGATCCCCCGCTACAATTATGCTCATGATGTGACAGAAATAACAATTATCATGTCTCTGATAATAGCAATAGCCACAGCAAAAAAACTACTTCTTTGGTCGAAGTTACACTTGAAATTGAACTCCCTCCTCATCAAGAGCTAACATTAGATTTTGCTCCCTGTGAAAGTGTGAATGCTGGCCCTGAACCTGTGTGCGGTCTGATAGTGACGGATGAATTGGGTACATAGACAGAGCCCTCAGTGTGGCTGAGATAAGGAGCCCAGAAGAACAAGCAGCCGTTGCGCTGCCTGTCTGTCATTGATATCGCTGTTATCCACTGGCTGTCCACTGTCCACAAACGCTTCCTCTGGTAGCCAAGAGGCAGTGATTACCTTGATGACAGAGAGGGCCATGCTTAACTTGGCAGCACATCACATTTAAACCTTTTAAATCGAGTTTTGGTATGGATCATTTGTATGTTGAATGAACTTGAGTATCAATTTTAAGAGAGAATATTATTATTTCCACAGATAATCTTTAAAGAATATGTATTTCTGGGATGGACTACAGCCCAACTCGTTTCAGTGGTGAAAAAACTGTTTTCTAAGACTGAAGCTTTCATCATTCAGTAAGAGGATTAGAAACGCAAATAACCTTCTATAGAAATGTGTTATTGGTTTCCAAACAGCCATATCACAATATTAAAGCTGTAGAGGCTTTATTTATTCTGTTTTGATATAATAAAAATGTATTGATTTCTATTAATCAACATGATAAATAATTATTCTTATCAGCACTTGAATCAACCCCCCCATCACCATGAATCAGAGAATGCTGTATAAAATGCTTTAATGAGAAAGAAACAATGCCGTTTAATAGGTATTGCAAGATGTTTTATATGCACCTTTTATTTTTTTTAAATGGAGAGAATGATAGCTGATATAAAAGCTAAACTTATTATGCAATCAGTTTAAATGCATTATCTGTCCCAAGACAGTTCCCTATAATGAACTCTATTTTCCAATAAAGAGACATAAGCACTTTGCACTATTTCCCAAAATTTGCGTGGACATAAATTTGCATATACAGCACATTCTACTTTATAGGTTTAATGGCTGTGGCACCAAGTTATACTTTTACTTCCTACACTAACAACTAGTAGTATATTTATTTTTTTAGAGCCCAAAGTGGTTATAAGGATGGAAAAAATGCTGACTGATGGCTCCCTGCCAAAAGAGTTTGTAGAACTCACAGACAGCTGCAACCACAACTGACCGGTGTTTGGCTCGTGACCGCTGTTCTGCCGAGCTGAACTCCTCGTCTCCTCTCCATCTCATCCAGCTGAGGTGTTTTACCGTCCTCCTCCACAATTAAACCCAATGATGTGAAACCAAAAGGGGGGATCTCTGCAAGGTTTATGGGGGCTCTGGGCTTTCACCTGTCAAGAACAAGTGACTGTTATTAACGACAGGGCTGAAAAAAGAAGAATTACATTTCCATCCTAAAAGCCGCCTTAATTTTGCATGGGGAAAAAGAATTACGCCTCTGTTTGGGAAAATCTGCAGCGTCAACCAGCAAAAAACTTTCAGGGCGTAAGCATTCGGTGAGACACACAGCAGTATTTCATGTGTCTGTATAGATCGCATAACCCCCTTCAGGTGTTTTCCTTTCTGTGCCAGCTGCAGATCTGAAAGCAAGCACTGTTTCTCATAAACACTGTAACGTAAAGACAATGGGTTAACACAATAGAAACATGCAGATGCTGGAAAAACACAACGTGGCAGACTTTCCATTGAAAAGCTTACTGAGGAAGAAAACCATCATTTGTAAAAGAGTGACTGCTGTGAAATTGAGTGCGGGATGCTGAGAAGTTGTTTACTGATGTTTACTCTTTGTGTGTGAGGAGCGCGGGATAGACCGCAGGATTAAATGCAAGGGTTCTGACCTCAATCAAGGAAATAATTACTGTTGCCCCTCCTGTTGGTGGACCCCATAATTAGCAAGCGAAGCCCCCACAGAAACACAATTAGACTGAAAAAAGAGGTGATTAAAACTATAATTCTTATTGGACTCATTAACATCTTTTTGGGGTGCCCGGAATGCTTTATTGAATTTCTCGGGAGATTCAATTCTGGCTTCAGGATGCACTTTACATTATTCCCAATGTATGCATCCAGATATCTGTCAAAGCAAGTGAGATATGATAATAGAATGGAGGGCATTTGCTTGAAGAAAAATAAGTCAATAATAATAAGTCAAGTGTGACTGACTTCATCTTCCTCAAGTAATGAAGAGTATTCATGATTGGCATCACTGATAAAAGCTATGGATCACATAAGCTCACATCACACACGCACACTTCAAAGCTGCTCTTTTCTATCACAGTGTGCTTCAGTGCAATGAATCACCATGTTTCCTATTATATTCTCTCAGAAGAACAAACACACACACACACACACACACACACACATCAGTGCTGTTATCTGTCATCACCACTGCTGCCGCTCCTCCACCAAAAAACAGTCGATACTGATGCAGCACCCACTCATTGTGTGTGTGTGTGTGTGTGTGTATGTATAGGTGTGTTTTTGTTCAGAAGGTCTTTTGTGATTAAATGGGACTGCAGCAATGAGGGAACTTGGGCGTTTTGCATTTTCTGTGCTTTTCAGTCAAAGGAAATGGCTCGAATACAAAACTGTCCAAGCTTAAAATACACTACTGATTCTGATTCATTTCTTTAGTAAGGCATTCTCAGCACTTATATCGTGCTTTTTCACAAAATGCTTGTCAGTACTGAAAACTAATGGCCCCCCTGGAGCATATACTTCAGTCTAATGTCTTCCGGCCAGGTGCTAGCTACTCCTCCTTTCTCTGAGCAGTTTAACCTGATGGTTCTTCAAAATATGGAAACATTAGAACGTGTCGTTTCGTGGTATACATTTTAAATCTGACTAATATGAAAAACTATTTTTAACTTTGATATTTGTAACTACAGTGCATATAACATTATTATTTCCGTGGTCACGATAAGACACAGACGCTAATATCAGCTAATGTCCGAATGACAATGACAAACCTGGCCGCTGTAAAACTGCGTCGACTAGCACTGTATTTGAGCTAATGTCGCTTTATGGTGCTGAAATATATTGTTATCTCTTAAGATAAAGTCTTCATTGAATTATTTTAATTCCTTCTGTCCGTGTCCATACCTTTAAAAACCATTAACCCAGCTGACAGTATGTGACAGTTTCCTCATTAGCAGTCGCTGCGGCTTGCTTGGACAATTCGAATCATAGTGCACTCTACGGCTCTGATACCAACCAATCACAACACGCGGCTGAACTTCCCTAGCCAATCACGAAGCACGTACGCACTGAGCGGGACGTTCCGAATTTAAACACGGAAGTCTGTTGCATTTGTTCGCCGCTACTTATTCTCAGTTGTTTATCAACAAAAGAAAAATCCAGATTGGTTGACTATGGTCCGAGGCAGCCTGTCAGTCAAATAGATTCATCGCTGGTTATGTAAGCTGAAGTCTTGTGGGTAAGTGTGAAGTGACAATAAGGAGAGCTCATATTAACGCTACAGTGGCTATACACAGCGCACTGGTTAGATAACGTTAGTACTAACGTTAGTACTAACGTTAGCTTAGCTTCGTGTGGCCCCGATGCCACTTTGAAAATCCAAGTTCGGTCTGTATGTAAGTTAGTTAACTTCAACTTGAAAAAAATAACCGGAAAAGAAGATGTTGTGACCGAAGTAACCGCTAGCTACTATTTAAAGCAACGTTAGCTGTAACACACGACGTTACAGCCGGTGTGTCGCCTCTAGAGTCAGTTTGATCCGGTTACAACGAAGATTCAAAGTCTGAGGGACAGTCTGCTACAGCTAAACGTTTGCCATCTATATTACACTTCCGCTTCCGCTCATTGAACAGCTGTGTACTTTAACGCAACATGTCATTTTGTGTATTATGCTAACCTTCGTTATTGTATTGCTGTCAGCGCTCACATCAAGCTCCAGCTCCTGTGAAAGATGGAGGAGCTCTACACTTTGGAGAAGGAGGTAGGACGGGGCAGCTATGGTGTGGTCTTTGAGGGTCATATGGCCAAAACAGGACAGAGGGTGGCGATCAAGCGGCTTCCCTGCAGCAACCCGGAGTACATTGAGCTCTACCTGCAAGAGCTGTGGGCCATGAGAGCCACAGCCAAGAACCATGTCAATGTTATTGCACTCCACAGCTGCCTGCTGCAGACGGGGCCAAGGAGCCTGAAGCCCCTAAAACCAGGGAAACTGCCTGTACGTCTAGTTGAGAGCGTGCTGAAGGGCAGTGTTGTCAAGGCAGCACAAAGTCAGGACTCCCAGTTCAACACCCAGAGGATGACTAACTCTGTCTCTAGACTTAAAGACAGGACAAACACCGCCCAGGCCAGGGCTAAGCTCCAGGGCAAAAAGAAATCGGATGCATCTGACTCTACAACTCCACAAAGGCCTCAAAACAGAGCCAGGAAGAGACCGGCCCAGAGGGAGGAAGAGGAGCCGGGACCCCTGCGCTGCTTGGCCCTGTGGCTCGTGATGGAGTACTGTGACGGGGGCGACTTGAATCAGTACCTGCTCTCCAGGCCACCAGATGCCCAGCGTAACCACAGCGTGGTGCGACAGCTCTGCAGTGCTGTGGCCTTCCTGCACAGTCTGGGTATCACTCACCGAGACCTGAAGCCTGACAATGTTCTGGTCTGTGTGACACCCAAAGGCCCCGTTGTCAAGGTAGGCAGAGTGTTGTGATGCGACAATGATTACGTCAGATGAAGTGGGATCATCCTAGAATCAGTGCAAAACTTGTCGGAAAAATAACACTGATCAAATGTAATAGTTTGTTTCTCTCAGGGGATGTTTGCTTTTAACAGCAGCAATGAACTCCAGACCCAGTAAACAATGTAATAAAAAGCAATATGAAAGAATAATTGAAAATAAAAATGCTGTGCTTACCCCTGTGTGCCCATACAATTAAAGTACAAAATACTGACTGGAAATATTTACCAGGTTCATAGCAGGAGTTCTAAAACTTTACCAAAAGTGCTTTATGCATTGGCAATGGTGCAGAGTAAAATGTGCAAAAGATGAGTTGTAGGGCTGTAACATAATACAACATAAGGATTTTTTTCTTCATTTCTTGGTCAATGAATCTGTCAATGAATTTAATCATTTGGTCCATGAAATGTCAGAAAACTGAAATCCCAACTCAAGCTGACATATTCAAACAAGTGTGTGTGTGTGTGTGTGTGTATGTATGTATGTATGTATGTATGTATGTATGTATAAGAAAAATAAAACCAGCAAATATTTACATTTGAGAAGCTGGAAGCAGAAAATATTTAGCATTTAAAGGGATTTTCGAAAGAGTTGCCGATTAATCTTATGTCGATGTGCTAGTAGATTTGACTAATTCAGCACTGTTGTGTTAACACTTCCACATATTACAATGTAGTGAGTCCATATCTCAGCCTTCCTCTACATAATGTTACGTAGGGAAGAATGTATAGCCTATACCTTACATAAGGTATATACCTAAAAGAAATAAAAAGTTTCTAGACTTGTATATTTGTACACAAAAAAACTTACTCCACCACAAAACTACATACCGTATTTCTTTTTCACTTAATCTCCCTGTCCAACCTCTAGGTGGCAGACTTCGGTCTGAGCAAGATGAGTGAAGGTCTGGTGGACGGGGATCTGACCAGGCAGCACTTCTCCTCCACCTGCGGCTCCGACTTCTACATGGCTCCAGAGGTGTGGGGTGGACTGACCTACTCAGCCCAGGCAGACATCTTCTCCCTGGGTGTGATGTTCTGGGCTGTCCTGGAGAGAATCACCTTTGTGGAAGAAGGGACCACGCAGGAACAACTGGGTAAGTGGAGTGGAGATTCAATAGAAAACTAGACCTGATGCACCAAACCAAAGTACAACTAGACTGAGGCAGTGGACATGCAGACCTACACATTAAAAGGCAAATATATGACTACAGATTGTGGCAGTATCGTTGTGCATCAGTGTTAACATGTTGGGCCTCTCACGCTGTGTCTAGTCCTGCTCACAGAAAGGTTAAGCGTGTGGCCAGTCAGGCAGGTTGATGACGCATCACACTGAATCGAGTTTGACTTAATTAAGTGGCACATATTAAAAATGTCACATGCTATACATCATACATTCATCAACCGTGGATGGTACAATCATAAATCTAAATGGCAAAGAGATGAATGATTTATGCTATGTACACTTTGATATGGATTGCAGTTGCTCTTTTCCTTATAATACAAGCTGACAGTATTCAGCCGTTCATACTCCAAAAGTGCTGTTGTTGGCGCCATACCAGTTTCTTTGGAATAATTTAGAAATGTCTTTATATTCCTCTTCTCATTCAACTTTGGATGGTTTTAATAACATCAACCTACATTAATGGAGAACAGTTATATTTGCAGGGTAATGCATATATGTAGATCTCTGGTATATTGTATATTTGCAGGTTATCGGCACCGATACCTGCTGGTATTTGTTTCATTTTTTTATCCATTTTTTTTTTTTTTTTTTTTTTTTTTTTTAGACCAAATACAAGTACAAGTATTTACATTTGGGTACTTGCCATTACATAGTACCAATATGAGTACTTAATAATACCATTACAGTTCTAACAATGACTTTTGAAACCATTTTCATCTTTTCTTCTGACGTTCCTCACTTTCTGACTGTAACAATGAAATATTGCTAATGTTGTTGTAAAAGTTGCTTAAATCTCTGAACTGCTGACATTGCTTCACCTCCGCCTACCTGCTCAGCCAATGAGAGGATACGTAATGTCACACTGCTGCAGAGTGGTATTGGGTGTGGTATCGGAGTAGTTTTAGGATTACAAGTTTGAGTACATCAGCACAATATCGGACCCTAGACTGGTATTGATATCGGTGCGTCCCTGATTATCGGTCTTTGTTGTAAATGTCGTTGCAGAGACCTTTAATGTCGTGAGTCTGACACATAAAGTTTGCAAAGCTCTGGACAATTCAATACGAGCATTGGGCCAAGCATTCCAGTATAGCTTTGCAGACCAGCATTTAGATTTTAATCTTATTTTTAATGTCCTATTTCCTGTCAGAAACCCCATGTGGTCTTAGGCCGAGGAAGCGTTTTAATGGACACAGGGCTCAGTTCTGCTCCGCGCTCCACTGTCACGGAGTAATGAAATGGCTTTAATACAGATGTCTCATATTATTCACAAAAAATGGGTCCGGCCAGAGCAGGCCTGAAGGCCGGGGGATATGAACCATTATCCTCAAGTTTAGTGCCTGAGAACCTCCCTGAGTCACTGATACTCCATTAGGCTGAATGAAAATGGTTATGATTGGAGGGAGAGAGGGGTTCTGGTGGATTCAAATAAAAAAGAAAAGGAAAATGGAATTTAGCAGCCTCGATCACAATCCTCTTTGTCAGTGAGAAAATGGGGAGAGGCAGCTGGAGGCTTTTCACAGACCGTTAAAATGGTCCATTATTTTACTATATCCTCTCTCAAGACCCACACACCCACACAGTTATTTGACTAGGCAGGGGAGCGGAGAGACTATAGTCAAGGAGCAAGACACAACCTCCTGCATTTGTCCTTGTTGAAGCCCAGTGCTGGAGGCAGTGTTGGCTTTTTTGCTCAGTCAGGTTAGGAAATCATTGGTGGCCTTTCACCAGGTCAGTCCTACACTTAGACTTCACCTTAAGTACGTAGGCCAGGGTTCTGCGTTAAGCATCAACGGGGTAAGTAGAGCTCAACTTGCATGACAGATGTGTTACTAACAGTGCTCCATTTAAAAACTGAGAAATGATTACAAGAAACCTTGTGATTAAGCAACAATTGATGCATTTTAATTACTTTCACAGATAATCCTCTTTTAATGTTTTTGGGTTGCTACATTTTAGGGATGCAACTAATGATTTTCTTTCTCCTCATTAATCTACTAATTTTTTTCAATCAATCATTTAGTCTAGAAAATGTCAAATAAAGACAAATGGCAAATTCAGGTAATTAGTTAAAAGTTTTATCTTTCTTAATTATGCTGATCAGCAGCCAAAACCCCAAAGTATTAATTTCTGAAAGAAAAAAAGAAGATGCTCATCTTGGTACTTCATCTTTGTCCAACTTCAGAGGGCCAGTCAGCCAGATAGATTTCTAAAAATGTAATTTTTATTTATAGTTTTCTGACGTGTTCGTGGAGCTGTTTAACTAACTCTTTCATTTAGTTTCCATTTTTTCCTACTGTGAGCGGCTCCTCCATTCCTTTGAGTTTTTTAGCATACAGACTGCTCCAGTGAGGACACACAACACACTTAAAACCTGCTTACGATTAGTATTTCATATGAAAATGGGACACAGCTATAGGGCCCGTACAGTCCTGAGAAGATGTCTACTCAGGCAGAGTAAGTGTGTGGGTGTGGTATGGGTCTGTACGGGCTTTAAAGATGCTCTGTTTTACTCACCAAAAGTCACTGTGTGTATCTCTGACACCTAACAAACATGTTGCATGATGCGTTTTCTTCCTCGTGAAACACCTGCAAAGACCATTAAGTTAGTAAGTTTAAACCTGCATTGTGTACAGCCATGTTGACTTGCAAGCAGTTTTCTTCTTCTCTGCCTTTTGCTGGCGCCTTGTTGTGTTTCTTGGTGTGTTACTGCCGCCTGTAGATCAGTGAATTAGTGTATCGCGTCACCCACATGCTCATGTAAATCTGTGTGTGTATGCATCAGGGACACACTCATAATTACATTGGTCCATAGTGGCTAACAGCTCCACTGGTACATTTAAGGAATAGTTTATGAACCACCATAGGACATACAGAGCTGACTGCTGCAACCCCAATGACTTTAGCTCAGTTGGGAAAGCATACGTTTACCTCTCCACATATCCTGAGTGACTCAACAATGACATGGCAGCAAATGATGTATTTTAAAAAAACGTGTTGATTGTGTCTCCTCTTTAAAATAGTCATACTGACACAGAGCTTCTGGCTGTAGCTGTATGCTCACAGACCAGGTAGCTATCTGTCCTGTTGTTTGCACTTTACTGCTGGATACTTAAGTGCCTGTTCACTTGTAATCAGGTAATCAAGCAAGTGCCTCTCTTCTGAGAAATGTCAACATCCAGTACTCTTAACACACACTTGATTAACACTTCATACCGCTTCACAGCAGCATTCAGAGCGAGCCGTGTCCCACAATTCATGACCTGCTGTCCAGTTTTTGGCTACAATGCCACCATAAGTAGGTCAGCTGTCTGACAATGTTTAACAAACAGGAAGTTCATCACATGTTTGATTCTTCGTGAGTATGATTAGATGATAATCCTCCTCAATACACATAATTTACAATGTCTGGAACATGTTTTGTTGAGAGGAATGCCTTGTCTTTTACTGCAAACCAAATCTATCTACCGGAATAAATAAAGTAACCTAAACCAGGTGGTCTGATAATAAGAGTATTTTGACCAAATGATAAGTGTCATACATTTAATTACATTGGTATGGTTATGAAATAACACACAGAGCTTAATCTAAATGTATAAAGAAGCCAGCCACTCCCAAAACTGAAGGAAGGTGATTAAAAAAAAACAAACTAGAAAAGGCATCGGGCCTCCAGTTTTTTTCTTTTTTTTTGAAAGAACCATTAAAATTCTATAATTCTAGTTAAAACACTATTCTTGGAAAACAGAAACATGCAAGTAAACGTAGCATTTTCTGTAAAATCCAAAACACACTTTTTGCAACGTCATTGCAGAATGATGTTTATATTTGAGTAATATCCCAAATAGCATAATTGATATTGTCAACATAATAATCACATTTAAGTGAGATTTGTTTTTATTTATACGTACTGACTTGTATTTGTTGTGTTGCTCATGCAGCCTCATACTGTGCGTTCTCTTTCATTCACTGTTTGTTGATTGTAACTGTATTGTTTCTGTGATACAACAATGCATTGTGGGCCCGAGCGTCCCTGTGTGTTCACACTATCTTCCACACACTTGTGCTCTTAAGGGCACTCGTGCTCTGTTGGCAATTACTGAAAGCATGTCACACCAGTAGGCACTTGACTACTTGCGAATACATGCGTGGCCCATAATCACGGAGATCAAGCGGCCCCCTGCAATGTCTGTTGGCGCTGTCAGTCAGGAGCCCGCTGCACGGTGACTCAACAGTGTCTCCCCTCGTGTTTCCTCTTTAGGTGCTTACGTGTGTAAGGGTCGCTCAGGCTGGTTGATGCCACTGGGGGAAGCTTTGTGGGAGAATGGCGAGCTCCAGCTGTGCATCCCTATGAAGTTTAAGAGGGCGCCCCCCCTGCCACCCCCTCCCGGTCCAGCCATGTGCACCCTGCTTTTAGACATGCTCGCCTCAAACCCGGATGACCGACCACCAGCAGACCAGCTGGAGGCCAGAGTGCGCTCTGCTCTGAAAGAGGACTCCCACTGACAGAAAGTGGGCTTAAGAGACCATAATGGCTGTAACCACTATAGCCACTACATGGCATTATCGACTGCGGACCCCCTGAGTGAAGTGCTTCTGACGTGTAAGCAATAGCCACTTATGTATGAAAAATGTATGATTATATGGGATTGCAGGTGCTATTTTTTTCGCAGAGACAGACGCTCAATTCATAAACCGTGTAGGAAACCACATAAAGGGAAAATGAATGAAATAGAAGAGGTCGAGCCCCTGACAAAACACGCAATGATATTTGAACTAGTCCATATAGAGATCTAGAGGGATTTACTCAAGCTGTATTTGATGTAAGCACCATGCTGTTGTTTAGACCTTGAAAGCTTGACATAGAAAATCAATTTTAGTGTGTATATATGGCTGAAATGAAATGCAAGGGATTATTGCAGCTGCTTTTTGTCTGGGTCCGCAGTGTTTTGGTGACTCCCCATTATCACAGCTTTATTTCGGGTGTTGTGACTTGATTGGAAGAGCCTTTTACCTTTTAAAAATGCGTAGCTAGCATTTAATTCTTTTTGTGCTCAAGTATTCCCACCACATCGATGTAACATGGATCTAATAGCTCACTGGGCTTCCACATGTCTTAAATATGTAAAGTGACCAAAAAAATGTAAACATTTGTTCATTGTAACACAATCCAGTGCAGTAGTCCTGTAATAAATACTACCTCTGTGACACTGTCAGCAACAGGTGTCTGTTCGATGCTATGGTAATGATTAAGGCTGCGGTTTGTGGTGTTTTTCTCCAAAGATATGGACATTATATGAAAACAGCTATCAATAAAATACAAGTTTACTCTACCATAACGCACAGCCTCAGTGTACAACACAATCAGTCAATATACAAACAGCTAACAGTCTAAAAGCTTCAAACAGAGCAGTATTTATTGCAGGGCTAACTTTGTACAGGTGTTTGTATTTTTCTGTGTATTTAAATTGTTAATACTTCTCTTCAGAGATACTGATGTATGTCATTTGCTTTACACACATGAAAATGTATATATTTTTATTTCAAAATAAGATTTCCTCATCATTTGAGCTGTTTGCTTTTAACTACTATAAGGATGTTATTTTTTATTTTATTTTTAATTTTTTATTTAAACTGTGAGCATTTTTGGGATATGTGCACTGAAACTGGCAGAAACGGGCTGGCAGCATGAGGCTCACTGTGACTAACGATCACTAATATACCACCTCCTCATGAACAGGAAATTAAAGCCAGGCATTAGGATTGTTGCTGATCATATCCATGCTGAGTCCACGGCATTTATTGCTGACCATCAGTCTTGGTCACTGACTGTCCGTATCTTAAATGACTACTTACTTCAGAATTTCTTTGCTCACATGTCTGAAAAAAATGGATATGTAATACAACATGAACTGTTTTTTAACATTTAATGTAATTTAAATAAACATGAAATTGTAACATGAGTGTTATGTAAAATTGATGCTTTGCAGTTTTACTGGGGTGACTGAAAAAAGGCCTTCATGAAACATTTTTAAAAATTCAGCATTAACATAAAAGTAACCATCCTCTCACCCACTGAGCTCAGCAGTGTCTGCGGTGGACGTCAGGGGGACCAGTGGAGACGAGGCTGGCTCACCTGACCTCCCCGCTCCCAGCTCAGTGAGGTCGGCTCTGACAGATCTGCGACCTTTACTGGTGTGAGTGGCTTCTCACGCTCTGCTGGCCAGCCAATAGCTCACTCATACGACCTCTGACCTCCCCACTTCTCAAGAGTTTAGAGGAATTGATAGTACAGACATTTAGGGCTGAATGTGTTTCAAGTATGTTAGGAAAATGTCTTCATTACTTATTCATGATTGCCGTATTTGGGTCTGATGACTAATTTCCGAGATTATATAGGTCCTTCATACAATTTGGTGCAAATGTGCGTTCCTAAGTTAAGCCAAAGCTTCAGAGGTGTGTGTAAGTCAAATCAAATAGACATTTTCCAAAGTTATGGTCTTTTCAGTATGAAACTCCCTGTGATTTCCAGGGGCAGAACTAGAGGGGTGGCATTGGAAATGCCTGGTCACTCCAGTTTGGTGTCAGATGCTGTAAATTAAACACATTCAACACATTCAAAAACATTAAAAATGTTATGGAAATAAAACATTTCATTGATTTCTAATCCACCGTTAAATATTTCAATTCAGTGCTTCACTGCCACAATGATGTAATGCTTTTTCAAGCAAATGTTGATATACAGTGCATCCGGAAAGTAGGTTTGTGCTCTGACCTGCACTGTCAACTGTGGGACCTTATATAGACAGGTGTGTGCATTTCCAAATCATGTCCAATCAACTGAATTTGCCTAAGGTGGACTCCAATCAAGTAGTAGAAACATCTCAAGGATGATCAGTGGAAAAGCTCAATTTTGAGTTTCATGGCAAAGCCTGTGAATACTCATGTACGTGTGATTTTTTATGTTTATTTTTATTAAATTTGCAAAAATTTAAAACAAACTTTTTTCACGTTGTCATTATGGGGTATTGTGTGTAAAATTTTGAGGACAAAAAATTATTTAATCCTGTTTGGAATAAGGCTGTAACATAACAAAATGTGTAAAAAGTGAAGTGCTGTGAATACTTTCTGGATGCACTGTACACTGAACAGCCATAACACAATGAGCACCCTGTTGGATCGGACCCCACGTGCATCAGTGACCCAATCTCCGGTTCAAGGCTGTAACATAACTTTCTTCATACACCGATCAGCCACTGTGGCTTTGGTCCCACGTTTCTCACAACTGGAATCACATTAGGAAAGGATCAATGTAAGGCCTGTATGGACAGGAGGAGTGATTACAGTGACCAATAACTAAGGACTGTATAGAGACAGACCTCAGGGCAGTGCTCGGTGCTTTAAAGGTTCGTTTGATTAAGGTCTGCCTTATGTCGTTAAAATAACACGTCTACAGCAATGCTAGCTCTGTGAGGCTACACGTAAGGCACAGTGGTGCTTTGAGCTAATGCTAATGCATGCTAAAATGCTCAGTGACAATGCCATCACGCTGATGCTTAGCAGATAGGTACAGGATACCATGTTCACAGTTTCTCCGTTAAACGTAACACCAATATTTTGAGTTTGCAACTCAAATATTAGCATTTATTTTTTACTGTAGGCCTATGTGTATCTGACATAAAAGTGCAGACTACTGGGGATATCTAGCATCCACAATAAAGTTTCAATTTCAGCCTTTTAAAACCTACTGCCCCTACAAGGAACTTCCATTTTGTGTTCATTCTGGCAGTAGTGTTTCCACCTCATTTCATTGATTTCAAGGGGAATCCAACCGAATTCGACCCAGTGGCAGGCATTAAGAATAACTATGTAGAACCATGTATGTGGTCTTGTTTGTTTCTGTAGGTCATACAGAGGCATCAGTATTGAACTGAGACTGTTTCATAACCAGTTACAATCTCCCTGTAGTACCCTTTAGGAGCGTAAACCAGGACTGAGCCATCATTTGCAACAATGAACTGACATCAGATAATGCATACACTTGGGGAATATGTACAGCATCGACACTACCCAGATCCCTTTTCTCTTCTTTTACTCAGGTAATTGTTGTAGACGGGTCCTGCAACCTTCACTTCAGTAGAGTTTAACTGAACCTGCTACACTTCTGCTCATGTCGCAGTGAAGATTAGACCAGACTCTGCCTCCTCCACCGCACAAATCAGCTCAGCACAGACTCAGCGAGTGTGAGCGGAGGGAAAAGTCCTCTCAGATTTCACAACTGATAGCAGGAGTGAGCAAGCGTGGAGAGAAAGCCTGAGTGTGGCCTATTCCTCAATGCGTCAGGGACTGCAACACCAACACAGCACAGTCACGACTCAGGGGCCGCATCCAGGAAATTACGCATGGCCGTTCAGCTTCAATCGCCCTGTGCAGTTGGAATCTATATGAGACATAGGTCGCCGCATGAGCCTTTCGCGCTTTATTGCTAGCTATTTCTCAAATGACAAACCCTTTCCAGTAACAGTGTGGCTGAACACGGCATTCGGTCAATGTTCAATAGACAGGTAACTGATGGAGATGTAATTGGAAAGGCTGTGTCAAATGAGCCAGTAAAACACTCTCATAGGGCAATCATCAGGGGTCTCTTACTAGGGCTGGCACCCTTGACATTGGGGAATACATTATAGGAGCCACTCTATACGACGTGACCTTTCTTTTGGAGGCTAAAACCTTTTGGCTATTCTGTCATTTAGGTTTAATTATTGAAATGTCTTGCAAAGATTTCCGCAGCATCAAGAACTCTCAAAGCAGGACATAAAACAGAAATATACTTTATTCTTTGGAGGGGGGGGATGCTCAAGTGATGTGTTCAACATCTGGAATTTACCAGAATAGTACATAGACCGAGAATGCATGACAGAGAAACAAGAAATAGGATTAACTGTGGGGCTTTAAAAAGCAATTTATGTAACACTAATATTCAATTTCCTGCCCTATAAATCAAAATTCAGCAATTACACAACGGCTGCCCAGCGAGGACAGCTCCCACTGTTCATTCATCCACTGGCAACCATTAATGAACGCTTGACTCGTAATGGGTTTTCTGTTTAATTGCAACATAAACATGATTAACTCGAACCATGATGCTAAACAGGTTTCTTCTCATCCCAGACGAACACACGCAAATGATCTCAAAGGATACCTAGACAGACATTCTTTGCCAGACTCATGTAACACTTGAGTAAGATTAAAACTGTCTCAGCAGGATTGTTCTGGTCAGACTGGATCAGAACTGCTCCCTGAAACAGAGTTCACTGGCAAGGCACTGGTGCTAACCAAAATACCAACATGTGTGTGTGTGTGTGTTTTAGTACCTGTATAGGGAAAGGAGCAGACTAAAACATTTCTTTAAACCTTTCTTTGTATCTCAAATTCAACCCAAAACCTCATCCACAAGACGCTCTGGCTTCATCCCAAATATCTTTACTTTATTCCTCACACCCTCTCACAGTCTCCTTATCTACACAAAGCGGAGGAGATGCAACAGCATTGCCTGGTGTTCTCCAGATAAAAAGCAAACTGTTTCACAACACACGCTGCGTTAACTGCGTCCCGAGAACATTGTCTTGATAAATAAAAGAATGTGTGCGTGTTGAGGTGCGTGTGTATCCAGATAAAAACATCGTCCACGTTCAGTCCATTCCGGGTCCATATAGGTCCTTCACCATATAAGGTCCTTCCAACTCGTAACCCATCTTCCTATAGTAGTTCCTGGTTCCTACACCTGCAAAACACACCCGAGAAGATAACAAGGTGCTCAGAGTAGCGCAGAAATAAACTGTAAAACTGTTGTAATTAATCCATGTGGTGACTTCCTTTCACCTGCAACGACGGTGACCACCATTTAAAATGGAAGATAGAGTAGAATTATGACTGAAATAGCGTATATTTAGGCAATGATATAAACTGCTTCACCAAACTATTTTTTTTTATTACTTACTACATTGTACTAATTAACTGTTTAAAATCGAAACAAATCCGCCTCTAGCTGCAGATTTGTGTTACTCTGCACCATTCAGACAACAATATGATTTGCTGAGGAAGCGCTCTTGATTCGGTGAACTGTAGTCGTCATGTGCCACTGTGATTGGCTCAGCTGTTTCACAGCGATGAGACCAGTTATGTGACTTGCTGAGAGTGTATTTAATAAAAGCCCACTGTTGGACAGGCTCTTTAAGTGACTTTAGAACACAACATTGTTGAAAATAAACCTCAAATATTCTGTTCATGTCGGTAGAATGCTTACATGTTACGTTTATTAATACTTAAAATTCACTATTAATATGTTTAAACTTGCAGTATGTTTACTTCCCGGTGACGCTGTGTTTCTTCTGACCTAATTCAGTCATGATATGGCTTTGTATAGTTTGTATTTCGATGTCCAAGGAGTGGATAAATGATGCCTTTTAGTTTCTCACCTGAGATAACAGCCAGTTTGCTAGAGCCATGTTCATCTCTGGCAATTCTCTCGGCCTCCTCCATCAGCATCATACCAAAACCCTGAACAAGGAGGAGGGAAAGGACCAGATAAAGAGAGTTACTATGAAAAGTCATTTTTCAAAGCACTTTTTAGCTACTTTTGCCTTATTTTGACTTATTAATCTCAGTGTTACACTTTTCTAATGTCATATAGGCCAAAGAAAGTACAGGCCAGGACTGATGTCTTACAGTGTCTGATTCACAGCTTGTAAAGGAATCAAGGTGTATGTGTGTGAGAAAGCATGACCACCTGATGCTGGAACTTGCTGGGGTCTCGGCTGCTGACGGGTACGACGCTGCCATAAACGTGCAGCTCCCGGACGATGGACGTTCCTCCTTTCAGCTCCGGACGGAAGGACTGCGGGGAGCAGCGACGCAGGCGCAGCAGGCCGATCAGGATGTCCTGCTCTGGGTCCTCG